GTAGATGCTGTGGCAGTCACCGCTCACAGCAACCTCAAACTCTTGGGCTTAAGCGATTCTCTTGCCTCAGCCTCCCAAGTAGCTGGGATTACAGGCACCCACCACAAGGCCGGCTACTTTTTGTTACAGTTGTCACTGTCGTTCTGGCCCAGGCTGGTGTATGTGGCCTGAGCCCTAACTACTGAGCTACTGGCGCCGCCAAGTTCTTGCAAATTTCTTGCTGCTCCATGCGCCTGCCTCAAGACACACGTGCAGTGAAAGTTCCTAACCAGACTACAAGAGAGGGTGGAAGCAGTGTTTTTGAGGTAGGAATGTAAGGCAATGTACGGGAAAGAGGTGTGGGGAGGGGAGACCCGTGACCCCTGCTGGCAGTGCTCTCTTGTGGCCTCCATTTGCCCACTGGTCATGCGTGTGGGTGGGAATGGATGTTCTTCAGGGGATCTTGCAGTCTTAGTTCCAGGGTCTCCCTTTAGGCAGCAAGGTGGGAGGAAAGCCTGTCTCTGAGGCTAGCGGGTTGGGCTGTGTTTAGTCTGTCTCCGCTGAAGCCGGCTCTGCAGAGTCACGCAAAATAGCCCCAGAGGAAGACGTTGATCGCCAGCAAGAGGACGGCATTGATGTTGCAGACGCTTCTCCAGAGGGGTTCCTCGTGGATGCTGGTCAGCTTCTGCTCTAGCGCAGCCTTCTCTGCCGAGCTCAGGGCCTGCTCCGGGACCCCCGAGAGCCCACAGAACCAGCCCCAGAGCAGCTTTCCCCAGGACCTGGCTGCAGAGACAAAACCAGTCAGGGAAGGAGAGCAGCAGGGGAGAGGCAAGGAACGGTGAGAGAAAGGGAAGTGATGGGAGAGCAGGGGGAGGAGAGAGGTGATGAGAAACTGAAGAAAGGGATGGGAGTGCCCGGAAAGTGGCGGAGGGCTGAAGCCATTGGCTTGGCCTTTTCTGCAAACTGCAGACTGGTGCTGAGCTGGGACTCTGGACTCATCTGTGACCCTGACCCCAGAATCCAAATAGTCCCACATCAGAGGCATCCCACTGTCGGGGAGTGAGCAGGGGGTGGTAAGGAGGTAGGATAATGTAATTCATCCCAATTCAGAGTGTACATCCTAAACCAGGACAGAGGGAAGAAACATTATGTCACCCAGGAAGGAGGAAGTGTTTGAACTGGACGCTGCACCTGCAGCTCAGAAGGGTACTGGGCTGTGAGCCAGGAACCCTTCCAAGGCCCGCCTTGCTACCAGCTGACTGCAAGGCCATATGCAAATCACTCAACTTCTCCGCTGCAGGTTCTTCCTGTCTCAAATGGGCCAAAACATATGCCCTGTTCTTCTTGGGTTGCTCTGAGCATCAGATAAGAATGGAGATTTGACAGCACTTTAGAAATTACCAGCACTGAGGTAGTATTTGTTTTATAATGATTTTCAACTTTAGATACTGTGCAGCCTTGGAGTAAATTTAATGGACTATTATTCTAACACGTTTAAGAACCTTCAAGGACTCACAATTTATGTGGCCCAGCAGGAGCTTTAGGAGATACCCACAGCAGTGGGTGTCCTGGACGAACCTCATGATGACAGGCACAGCTGTGTGGACACCGGGCTGCTCTCCCAAGCTTCTGTGTGACTATAGGCAACATCGTTGAGCCCAGTGGAAAAGGAATGAATGAATGAATAATTTTTTAAAAGGTGGAGATGGGGACTGGGCAAGAGGGAGTTTCTTTGTCATGCCCAATGTTTCCTTCACTTTGAGCACAACTCTCTCTGATTTTCTGCCTTGTGCTCATTCAGCCCTAGGAACTGACAGAACTTCCCTGTTGGTAGATTTGGGGAGGATAAGGAGAGCACGTCGGGCTCAGACCCTCCCTCCTTCACATGCGGAGGCTGTGCTGGGGTCAGGTCTGCTGGTGACTTGAGTGGGTGCCTCTGTCAAGCTGGGGTTCAGTTTTAGGAACTGCACATCTCTGTAGATATAAATCAGCTCTTTCTGCCTTCATTTTATCAGTAATGAAGGCAATATTTTGGCTCCATATGCCTTATTCATTTGTCTCATTGCTCAACTAGTTCAATAGCCATGTGGGAAAGGAGGAAGGGTGATATTTCTTGGGCTCCCTCAGAGCCCCCATCCCAGTGACTGCCCACGACACGGGGTCTGTTCTTCTGTGTGGGGCACCTACAGCCTGCCCCAGCCTACCTCCAGGCTGCTCCTGGTCCTGGCTGGAGTTCTCTGCCACCCCTCCTTCTGCAGGGGACTCGCCAGCAGGCCTCTCTGGTGGCCCCAGTGTGCTCTCATGCTCAGAGAGGGGCCAGTTCCGTGTCCACCAGGTCAGGCGAGCGAGCTGGAGGGATACAAGACACTGGGGTGAGCTGCCTCTGCAGGGAAGTCCTGCTGCAGAAGAGAAGACCCATTCAAGGAGGGCCTCGGAGCAGCAGTAGGGAGCATGAGGAGCAAGGCCAAGGCTGGGGGTCAGGCCTGGGTCAGCCCTGACAGCACCCCTGAGCACCTGCTCCATGCCAGGCTTGTGCTGGGTGCTGGGATACAGACCCAAGTCACACATGGACCTTGGCTTCATGGATCTCACAGACTGAGAGAAACAAGGCTAGACAGGGAGGCAGGTGCCCAATGACAAACACTTCAAAGGTCAGGCTGTGAACTTGATACTTAAAAGAATAAAAACCTTATAGGTAACAGGGACTCACTGCACACTTTAAGCAAAGGGAAGAGACTGTAAGTTCTGAGATTGTCAAAGATCCCATGGAATGAATTGAAGTGCACCTGCCTGGGGGCTACTGCAAAAGTGAAGCAAGAAATCAGGAGCCCCTGGGGTGACCGGGAGGAGGGAGCTGCCTTGCAGGACTTGAAGGAAGTAAGATCTGAAAGGCATAGGGACTGACTGAGTGAGCTGGGGAGGGTGAGGGACGAGGCAAATACAGCTCTTGGGTCCCTGCTTTGGACTGTATGATCAGACAGGTAGCAGTGCCTCTCCTAGGGACAGAGGACAAAGGACAGGAGTGGGTTTGGTGCTGGTGGGATAGAGCGGGGATAGGGCCATACACACACAAATACAGTGATGATCATCAAGACTCTACAAGACCTCCAAGTGGAGATGTCCGGGTGAGAAGGCATAGACTTTATGTCCCACGGAAGGCCCTGGTGGCTCTCCCTCTTCTCTATATTGGTGGCTCAGCAGACTAAAATACAGCAAGTTCTCTGGCTGACAGTGGTGGTGCTGGAATCACCACTCCCTGATCTCTGAGCCATCTCCTGGCCAGATAGCATTTTGTTACATTTTGAGCCAGGTCTGCCCGGCCCTGCTCCCAATCTGCTTTCCACTGTGTGTCCTACACTGCTGGGCCCACACCTGCCTCCCAATGGCATCATGAGGGCCTGGGTGGCTTCCTTGCTTGTATCTCTCAGTAAGCCTTACATTAGTCTTATGCTCTGTGTCACTAGTAACATAAGGACTCTGTCTCTTTATGTTACCAGGAAGAAGTTGGCTTTTAGGGTTTGGATCTTGGGAGAGGGGTTTTGGCTGGAGATAGAGAGTGGGGTGCCATCTTTATAGAGAAAGTGGTTGAATTCATAGCACAGAGACAGTACAAGGTGAGACAGGTTATAGACCACAGATGGGTTCCTAAGAACACTGAAATTCAAGGAACAGGAAGAAAACCCCTTGAAGAAATTGAAAAAGTGATCAGAAGGTCAGGAAAAGAACCAGGAGGGAAATATTTCATGGAAATGAACAGAAGAGAGGTGTCCAGGCTGTAGGAAGTAGTCAAGTAGTGCCTTGGAATTCACTTAGGGGAAAGATCAGAACATAACCATTGATTTTGGCAATGTTATCAGTGACCTCGGTGAAAGCCATTTCAATGAGGGTTCAATAGGGACAACAGCCAGACTGCAGTAGGCTGAGAAGCAGACACAAGGTGGGAGGTGGAGGCTGGGGGTGGAGACAATTTTCTGCAAAATTTGCTGTTGAGGACAGCAGGGGGAGGCAGCAGAACTAGAGCTAGAACAGGATTGTAATTTTGGAAGGATAAGGAGAAAGAAAGCAGACCATGGGGGAGATGGGGCAGGTCAGGCAGGAGGAGATTGTTTCTGGAGTGAGCCAGTGGAGAAACCAGCCTCTCTTGGTTCACTGTGGATGTTCTGCTCAGTCACAGGAATCAGTGAGACCAGGGCTGTAAAGTTGTTTGCAAATTCCACATACAGGGTATTAATCATGATGTCCACTTGATGTTTTAGGGACTGACTTCTGCCTGGACTCTTGTTTTGGGCTCAGTTTTGTATTCCCCAAATTCATATGTTGAAACACTAATCCCCTAGAATATGGGGAATTAGTGTTAGTCAATACAGAATATAACTGTATTTGGAAATGGGGTCTTTAAAGATATAATTAAGGTTGTATGAAGTCATAAACAGGGGCCCTAATCCAATATGACTGGTGTCCTCGAAAAAAAGAGGGGATTGTGTCAGACAGGCACAGGAGAGCCCACCTGAAAACACACAGGAGAAGACAGCCATCCACAGGCCACGGAGAGAGGTCTCAGAAGACACCAGCAATGCTTAGACCTTGTTGTCAAGTCACCAGTCTGCGAGCCTCTGTTATGGTAGCCCTCCCAAACTAAGACAGGCCCTCAGGAGAAACAGACGGGGCATCCATGTTCAAGAGTGTTCAGTCAACGTTGGAGAGGTGAGGATTTCAGACTGAGTTCTTCACCTAATAAATTCTGTTTCTTTTATCATGAGTAGATTTTATTTTATTTCATTTAAGACAGAATCTTGCTCTGTTGCCCAGGCTAGAGTGCCATGACCTCAGCTTAGCTTACAGTAACCTCAAATTCCTCAAGCGAGCCTCTTGCCTCAGCCTCCTAAGTAGCTGAGACTACAGGCAACCACCACCACACTTGGATAATTTTTCTAGTAGAGACAAGGTCTCATATTGCTCAGGCTGGTCTCAAAACTCCTGGCATCAAGTGATCCTCCCTCCTACCTTGGCCTCCAAGAGTCCTAAGATTATAGGTGTGAGCCACTGTGCCCAGCCATGAATGTGTTTCTTGACCATTCAGAAATTCCTCTTCATTCTTCATGGTCCAACCCAAAGCATCCTTGTCAGTGTATCATCTACCCGTCCTGGCCCCATGCATGATGACTGCCTCTCCTGTGCGTGGTCCTTCTGCATCTTCTCTTTGTATAGAGACAGTTTGTGTCTATGCCTGTTCCCCCTTAGGGATAGTTGCTGGCAGGGATCATTCATCTTTGTAACCCCCGTACAGTGCCTGGCACATAGCAGGTACTCACTAAGTAACTTTTGAATTGAATAAATTACTTTTCACTTGGGAATTCAAGGCCACATGAATTCTCCCACCTGAGGACATCTGTGTGTCCCCAGAGGAGACCACAACCCAGTAAACTCAGTGGCGGAATTTTGGGGGTAAGGAGGGCATTTCTAGGAGGGCCTCAGGAGGAGCACATCACTTGCCTTTTCCTCAGGGATGGGTGTTGTACAGAGGCTGACAGTGACAATGACGATGGCCGTGAGCCCACAGAGAAGGAGTGCGAAGTACAGGTAGTGAAAGTCCTTCAGCACGGCTGGCCTCGGGTCCACCTCCCCGCAGGCTGGGGCTGGGTAACAGAACTCCAGGATCATGCGCAGAAGCCCCACTCCCAGGCCACACATGAGGCCCCAGAAGGCTCCCTGTGGAGAGAGGAAAGGGATGAAATCCAGGTGGGAGACCCTAGGAAGATAAAACTACTCTGCCCTCAAGTCTCTCTCCCACTGGCCTAGTATAGAGCTTGGCAAGCCTATCTTAGTGAGTTCCCCATTAATGCTGAGACTCCGTTATGACTTAAAGGCAGGCAGGGAAGTATACTGAAAAGGACGCTCTAGGGTCCGACAGACTGGGATTTGAATCCTGGTTCCATTTTGGAATGACTCTGATCCAATGACCTGACTTTGCTGATTCAGAGTTTTCTCATGTGTAATGGTGAGAGAAATGCTTAAGTACTAAGCAGTGGAGACTTAATATTCAACTAGAATGGAAAAAGATTTGTAAGAAGCAAGGATCAGAAATCAGAATAAATATTTTTCTTTTGTTGCTTTTTTTTTTTTTTTAAAGGCTCTGGTACCTTCCGTATCTTTATATCTTTCTTCCTTATTTCCTTATGTGGCCCTGACCTGTCCCTGTTCCTGATATGTAAGAGCCAGATGACCTACTTTTGAAGATGCTAATCCAGACTTCAAAAACAGTAGAATAAGCAGAAACCCCCAGAGTTCAAGCGGGTCCTGCTGGGTGGTGTGGCACCTTGCTTGGGTGCACCATCAAGGGGAGGGTTTCCATGACCCTTTGTGATGACCTTGAGCTCTCACATTGCTCTTGTGGAGTTCTGTCCATGACATCCCTGACTTCCCAAGGCACAGCCAGAAGATTTGGACCTGTCTCTTCTGGGCTTTCCTGGAGGAGTAATCAAGGCTCCAGTCCTGGTACCTCTACCTTCCTCCCAGACTTCTGTGAAGCTTCTGTCAGGCTTCAGTGCCGTTACATGAACAATGTGTATGCAGGCCTGCCTGTGAGTTCACACCTGTTGCCACAGTTGGCATTACTGTTGTTTTGCTGACATATAAGCCTTTTACTGTTAGAGCTGGAACAGAGCTGGAGATCCTTCGGTCTGTCTTCTGCTTTCCCCACATTACTATTTATGTATGGAACCCTCGTCCCCCTGCTATTAATCCTTCAGATCTCAGCTCAGATGACACTTCACCCAGGAAGAGTTCTCTGAGCACCTCCTGGAAGCCCCACAGTTTAGGTGCTTGTATTCTTCTGGCAGCCACCATACTTTATCATTAGCTCTAATTTAATCATTTCTTCTCCCTGCCTGCCCAGTGGTACAGACCCACCTAAACCTTATAAATCACTGCAACCCTGGAGCTACCATAATAGGGCTGGTAAATGTTGAGTGATGGATGAATAGAGACCTAACATTGTGGGTGGGGACATGGAGGCCTAGAGGGCCAGTAGGTTTGTCCAAGGTCACAGAGACCAGGTGACTGACAGACCAGACCTCCAGCACCTTGTGGTATGGGGAAAGAGACAGGTGCCCTGTACTCACAGGCTCTGTGACCCTCTTGCAGAAGATGGCCAGCAGGAAGAGAGCAGTGATGGGTGGGGCCAGGTAGCTGGTAATTGACTGGATGTAGTCAAAGAGCTGCCCACTGTTGGAGTTCTGGATGATGGGGATCCAGAGGATGCTGATGGCAACCAGGAACACCACGAACACTCTGCAGGGAAGCACAGGGCACTGTGAGGTGGTTCAGGAGTGGAAGGCATGGGGGTGAGGGTGCACAGGAACCAGGAGATGAAGGAAAGGGGGAATGCACAGTCACTAAATCAGGGAAGGTTCGGAAGTCAGAATCCCAAATATACTAGGACTCAGAAATGTAGACTATTAGAATCCCAGAATATCAAAATTTCAGAATTCAAGAAACCTGTAATTCTAAAACCTTAGCATTTATATATCGGATGCCTTTGAGGTCATTTCACTTATTTGCTGTTCAAGAAGGAATACATACCTTTCATCCCACCACCTACCCCAGAGAAAGGGCTCTAGGCTCTGCTGGGGATGCCCTTCCTCCTCTACATCCCACCCTGTGCAGGAGCTTCTTCCTTCTCCAGAATCTGACCTTCTCTCCCTCACATTGACACTGAGTTAGGGTAAGAACCCCACCTTATTCTTCTGACTCCTCACCAACTGATTCTGGCCTAGGCCTAAGTCCCCAAAGCGTTCTGGATGTATGATTTTGCAGGTGGGTGAACACGTTGGTGAAAAACCCTTTTGGGATGTGTCTGGTGCAATAATGCATGTTGCCAGGAGATGGCGCTTAAACTCCACTGATCGAAAAATAAGCTCCCGCAAAACCAGTTACTGCGCAGAGATAAGGGATGCTTCCCAGAAGATGTCTTTTCTCTCCTTTTCCTCCCGTTTTTTCTCTCTCAGGGACCACCAGAGCAGCTGATATCTAAGTGGCTTCCCTGCTGCTCATCACCTTCCTCTTTGCACAAGCTGTCCTACGCTCAGATTCTGCAGTGGTCAGCGCCTGTGGCTAGGGGCGGGTGTCCAGAGGAACAGGCAGTAAGAGCCCATTAGGCAGCCCTGGGCAGAAGGCAGCTGGTGGAAAGAACAACGAGTGCAAAGGCAAGATACCTAAACTCAAGTACCTGTTGACCAAAGTGGGACAATCAGCACTTTAGTCCTGAAACCCGAGTTAGGGAGCCTTAAACTATGATGCAAAGATTTCAGAAAAGACTTCTTAACCCTGTCTAACTAAAAATTCCCAACCTATGGAGAACAAGAACTTAGCCACCAAGTTATATTTTAAAGCATAAAACTGATGCAGACAAGATAAAGTTTAAAATCTTTAGCGTGGTGTTCAAGGCTCTGCGCCATTTAGATACGACCTTCCTATGAGTATCTCTGGATGCAGGGACCTGGCTGTGCTACCCGTGTTTCCAGCCCTCTGTCAAGGGGGGTGCCCCCTGAGGGCGGGGCTCTGACTCATCCTTGGCCCCCAGCTCGTGGGGTGCGGCATGTGGCAGATGTTCAGGGAGAGTCTGATGAATTAAATTAATAGCATTTCAGTTGTTTTGTACTAACAGCCAGAGTTGGTCCAGAAGAGCTTGGGGTGGGCTGGTTGCTAACTTTCCTCCCACTTACATAGTTCACCTCTCATTTCTCAAGGGCTCAATTACCCTGTGAATCAATTCCAAGAGAAAGTTCAACAGACAGGAAAGAGATATTTTTCTCCCCATTATTCTGGAGGGGAGGAGTCTTCCAGAGTTGGGGAAGGAACGACTTAGAGCCCAGACTCAGCGGCAATTGTCCAGGGTAACCCTGGGTGAGGGCGGGGAAGGGGGGCGGGGAGGAGGGATGGCAAGGAGGGATGAAGGAGACAGGGCGAGGGGAGAGGGGAGTGGGTGGCAGGGAGAAGGGCAGAGGGGGAGAGGGAAGGGGAGGGGCGCTCTGTCAGGGTGGGAGCCAGGTCCGCGCACCTGCCCACCACCATCAGCTCCTGCTCCGTCGCCTTCCTGCGGAAGCGCTGCCACACGTCGATGGCGAACAGGGTGCTGCTGCTGTTGAAGATGGAGGTGAGTGAGCTCATGAGGGCGGCCATGATCGTGGCGATCATCAGGCCCCGCAGACCTGGGGGGAGAGGAGAGGCCGAGTGGAATGCAAGGCTGGCCAGTGGGCGGGCTCTGCCTGGCCTGTGGACCGGGACTTGGGGTGGGTGCGGGTGCGGGTTGGGGAAGGTGTTGAGTGAGGCTCCCGCGTCCAGCACCGCTAAGGAACTAGGAGACCCACAGAGCTGGAGATGGCTCTGGCCAGGCTCTGCCGCTGCCTTGTTCTGTGGCTCTGGGGTCCCCATGCGTCCTCTGGGAGCCTGGGCTTCCTCATCTCTACCCTTGAGACAGTGGGACCTGTGATCTCTCATATTCTCGGCAGCTCCCACGTCTCAGTGTAGGTTTCACAGCTTGTAGACCCTTGGTTGGGAGGTGGGGGGTGGAGAAGGGGTGATAGTAACGATTGTAACTTCTCCCTTGGCCCCTGCTGTTGGGCTACAGCCCCAGCCTGGAGGCAGAGACCCGGGCCTGTTTTCTGGTTCTGGGAGCAACTAGCTGTGGGTGTCATCTGGAAGAGTTCCTTCCACTTTCTGGGTCCATTTTTTCCATCATGACAAGGGACAACAGGACCTGCTGATATCGTCTCTCTGACTCTAATGACCGAGTTTCTAGAAAGATGACTGCTCATCCCTGGGCAGATGACTCCCTGGTCCCACCTCAGTCCTCTTTCCCCCATGTCTAACCACGTCCTGGATGTCTTCCTCACAGGTGCTCTGGACTCAAGTGTTCCAAAGTTAGGTACCATCTTCCTCAGGGCCTTCTGTTTCCCTCTATTAATTAATAATTATTAATAACACCTGTCCAGGCCCACACAGACCTCAGCACTATCTCAGACCCCTTCTCAGCTCTCCCCCCCAAACCGCCTCAGTGCTGCCCTGTCCTGGCTAGGCTTCCTGCCATCTCCTCTGCTGCTTTGATTCATGTCTCCTTCTGCCAGTGGGACAGATAACACTACTCATCCCCTGGCCTCCATAAGCCTGCCTTTCTTCCTACGCCCCTGATCTCAGTATCTGTGTAAACCTACCTTCTAAACACCGAGCCTGGGAGCCCTCTTTGATTTCTGTCTTTCCTATCATTCAAACACAATCAGCAATCAAGTCCTGCCAATCCTACCTCACAAACATCTTTAAATTCTGTTTCTCCATCCCTAAAGCCACTGACTTGGTTCAAGCCACTGTTGCCACTTACCTGGACCACTGCAAATACCACATGGGTTGTTTCCCTGCCTCCCCCTAAGCCTGTTGAGTCCTTCATGCAGAGGGTCCTGACAAAGCTCAGATCAATCGTGCACTCTTTAGCCTGAACGCCCAGTGTTCTCTGTCACTCTCAGAGCAAGGGCTACGCTCCAGAATGAGGCGTAGCTGTGACATCCTCTCCAGGAAGGCTGTCTGCTCTCCTCCTTGCTGCTTCATCCACACTGGGCTGCTTTCAGCTCAGAGGTCATGCCCCTCCACCCCTCCCCAGAAGGCCTCCGATGCCTCTCTAGCTCTGTCTGCCTTGGAGGTTCTTGCCCTCTGGGGGACTTCCCCAACATCCCCCCACTGGGTCAGCTGCCTCCTTAGGGCTCCCTCAGCCCCCACTGTATCATCGCACCAGTAACAATGTATTATGCTCCTGGAGAGTCCAGGTACCCTGGAGACCCCATGAAACACGAAAGCAGGGACCTGCCGTCTGTCCAGGACCTGCATCTCCAAGACCTGTGTACACAGAAGGTGCCTTAAAACACTTAGAAATACTTGTGAAAAGTGTGTGGGGGGGCTGTATGTGTGTGTGATGGGGTGAGAGGGGCAGAGGGGAACACTCTTCTTCCCTCTTTCCATCCATTTTAGTGCCACCGCTCCTGGGCAGTGGGGATTGGAGGATGCAGGGCGGGAATGCAGCATGATGGGGGGTGGGACTCACCAACGGGCATGAGCGCCATGACCAGCTTGGGGTAGGCGATGTTGGAGCAGCCCACCCGGGTGCCGCAGATCCTTTGGCAGATGTCAGGGTCCACACATCCTACCTCATCTGCAGAAAAAGGGATGACACTTAGGGCCATGGGCCCCTGTGCCTTCTCAGGTGGGTCTGATATTTGCTTTCCCACACTACAGGAAGGTGTTCACTAGAGTCCCTGGGAGGGTCTGAAAGGTCCTGGGCCAACTGGTGTCTGGGTCTTCGCTAAATTTCTTCCCCTACACTACCCTACAAAGCTCAAAGTCTTAGCAGTCTCCTTTGGGTTTTAGGCCTTATGTTTCACAAAGCTGTGCCCTGCACCCTGTGCAGTTGGGATCTTTTTCAGTATCTTTGCAAGATGCCAAGAATGCCTTAATTGTTTTTCCCATATAAAGGAGAAGCAGGATTTCAAACTGCATTCAGACACAATGTTTTCCTACTGAAATACTTATTAAATATTTGGTCCACACATAAATACTTATTATGTAAACACTCAATAAATACTTATTATGTAAATATGCAGTAACTACTTGTTGTGTGTTCTTTTCATATATTTTAATAGATGGGGTTTCACCTTCTTGCCCAGGCTGGAGTGCAGTCGCTTGATCTTAGCTCACGGCAGCCTCCAACTCCTGGGCTCAAGTGATCCTCCTGCCTCATCAGCCTCCTGAGTAGCTGGGACTACAAGTGTGTACTACCACACCTGACTAATTTAAAAGATTTTAAAAATAGAGACAAGATCTTGCTCTGTTGCCCAGGCTGGTCTTGGATAACTCTGTGTCCTTAATTGATAAAGCTTCCTGACCCCTACTGTGGTCCAGCATTTCTCCAGGGCATTTTCTCTGGACACCCCTCACAAGCCTCATATCCCAATGCCCCCAGAGCAAGCCTCCCTCTTACCTGGGAACAGGGCCCGGCTGATCATGCCGGGCATGATGATGAAGAACATGGGGAGGATCTTCAGGTAGCCCCCCAGCACTGAGCCTCCCTTGGCATGGGACAGGCTCTTGGCAGAGAGAGACCTCTGCACGATGACCTGAAAGGGCAGCAGTGGAGGTGTGCTGTGTGTGGGGAGAGGGGCTAGCTCAGTCACAGGTGCGTGCTGGCACTGGTCACCGATGGTGCCCCTGTCCCACTCCCAGGATGAAGTCTAGCCCTCCCTGCATCCAGGCACCTGGGTTTTCTATAGGAAGCCTCCCCATTTCTGGTGGTTTACGCCAAGCCTGGCCAGGGGCATTACCTGGTCTGTGCACCAGCACCATGTGGCCAGTACCGTGAGCCCGAAAATGAGACCTGGCCAAGGGATGTCCCCGCTCACTGGGTCCCGAAGCATGTGGAAGGCATCAGGCCGTGGGAGGTGACAGGTGGTGTTGGGGACTGTGGCATTAGGGATGGCCTGCTTGTACCGCTGCTCCAGGCCTGGGTACCAGCCCACCTCCTGAAAGCCTGGGGGGGAAGATACAGCGAGGGATGAAGGCCTGAGAGCTTCCTGAGCCTGCCACAGGGAGGGGGAGTGGAGCCCATCCTACTCTTTGGTAGCTCCATCCTTGAGAGCGGACATGGCCCTACACTCCGGAAAGTCCCAGCCAAGCCATGGAGATGCCATAGACAGGTCAAAGGTCCGAGAGAAATTACAGTTGTGGTGGAGTATATGGGGGCCTCTTCCTTACCCAGAAACATGAGGACCAGGGCTCCGCCCACCATGATCACCGTCTGGAGAGCATCTGTGTAGATCACAGCCGTGAGGCCCCCTGGGGACCCAAGGAAAGGGTCCATGAGTCAGCACTAAGGGGGGCTCCCCTCTGGGTGCCCACCCTGTGCTCAGCCATACCAGGGAGAATAGCGAACACGCCTCACTCCTTGTGCCCCCTCTGTCCAGCCTGACAGGATGCAGGCTGGTCACAGCCCAGTGCTCAGGTCTGCTCCTCCTGTCACTGCCAGTCCTCTGTCCAGCCTGACAGGA